ATAATAAAGGTTCTTGCCCATGTTTTTGGCTTGTTTGTTCTACCTCCTGACTGGCCCTGGTGCTTCACCATGTGTTCTCCAGTGTGGCATGGCATGCCATGCCTCCTATTTCTGGAAACCCATGAGTATGAAAAATTCTTCCTTTATGATAATCATTTCCTTGTCTGTGTCTTGTCACGCCTGATTAAAACATATCCCGGGAACCTTTACAACATAGCAGAGATAGAACTGACAGGACTTGGTAATTGATAACAACAATACCACTTAAAATTGAAATTTCAAGTAACTTCCACCTATATTTTCTAATTCAATTCTTATAATAACTTATGAGACACTCAACAGCCATGTTTTATAAGTGAGACAACTTATAAACTCAAAAAGGTTCACTGAAATGTCCAAATTCTCTAATAACTCATAGGCTATGTGTGCTTGAGCAAGTTTCTTAATCTGTTCCTTTCCTTACACAAGTATGTAAATTAAGGTTAATAACAGGATCTATCTCCAAGTTAGGGTGATGAATGAATTAGCCTGTACTTCGAAAGCACAATGAGTTAAATTGTAGACATGCTCAATTTTAGATATCAGAGTGACATCCTGGAGAAGCTGTCTGGTAGCAGTTGAAAATGCCCAACAAAAGTGAAGTGAATTTCAGGGAACAAAAGAAAGCTGGAGATTCCAATTTGAAAATCTTTGCACTGAGATAATAAATGAACTGAGTCCCAAAATAAAAACCTAAAGATACAAAGTGAAGGTAATAGGGCCAAAGAGAGAAAATGGATGTAGAAGAAAGAGGCATTTAGGCCAGTAATAATTAAACCAGTAAAGTAAGGGTTAAAGAGGGGAAGATCAATATTGTCAAAAGCTGCAGAGAGGTAGAAAAGACAGCCCATTGATTTGGTGGCTTTTGAAACCTTTGTGTTACTTATTATTGACCTTTGAGTAGTTTCTGTACAGCAATGGAGACAACAGATCGCAAGAGTTAAAAAGTGAACACAGACTCTTCTGGTATGTGATCCAACATGTAAAGACCACGAAAGTCATCAGTTCTATCCTCCCAACAAGAAAAAAGCTGAGCACACTGAAAATCAACAGGTCTTCTTTGATCCATCAGAGAACTGAGGTAGCAGGCAATCCACTGCCCAAAAAGTTGGGGAGGCAGGAGGAAACAGAATCACAACTTACTGGGAGCAGAAACCGCCACTGGTGCCAGCAAATGGGAGCAAAACTTAAAGGGTGATTGACTACTTGCTGGAGACTGAGTGTAGACTAATTTGAAAGATGAAAACTCCTGGGGGCCCAGCCTTAGAGAAGCCTCCATACTTTTGAGTTTTACCTCCATGAGCCCCTCCAGGACCTCAGGATGAAGATCCAAGAGAAATTCCCTGATAGTTCCAGGACAGGAAGTAACCATTTTGAAACATACCCAGAATGTTTGGTTCTACTTAACAAAGGCCTACCTTCAAGGAAAAGTAGTTTATCAGAGCCTAACCAATGTGGGAGGAGGGAAATACCCAACTCCAAGTCCCTGTAGCCTTCTTGTTCCATCTAAGAAAAAAAAAAATCTGAAAATCACTTATAAAGGTCACAGCCTAGGGACAAAGGCCCACTAAAAGGCTAAGATCTAATCATAAGATTATGGAATACTTTCTCTCCCCACACATCTTACCACCACATCAACAGGGCTCCTGTATAATAAGAAGGGGTTGCAATGGGAAGAACTGCAACGCTCAGACTCTATTTAAAAAGCAGTCTCTAGGAAAATCTAAAATACAGAGGAGACAAAAACAAGGACACTAGAGGAAACCGAAGCCTCAGAAACCTACAGCTACAGCAAACAGTAAACACAGCATAATCCCTAGCCAGATAAACATAAAGCCCCACACTAAAGGCTTACTTTCTTCAGTTCATATTACCTGTTACAACATGTTTAGCCTTCAACAATAAATTACAAGGCATACCAAAGGGCAAAAACCAATGTGAAGAAACAGAGAAAGCAGTAGAGCCAGATGTGGCAGAGATTTTGGAATTGTAAGACTGGAAATTTAAAACAATTATGATGATTGGCTCAAATAAACTCTTATAAGCATTCAAAAAATAAAAAAATAAAACAATTATGATTAATATGCTAAGGACTCTAATGGAAAACGTGGATAACGTGCAAGAAAAGATGAAAATTCTAAGAAAGAATCAAAAGGAAATGAACACATAAGGAAGTAGAATAGAGAAACTGAGCAGAGAAATGGGATAAATCATTGAAGAGTTAGTGGTAGTTTTTACTATAATGGGAGATTGTCCAATATTGTTAAGCCAATGGGAAAGACCCAAAAGAAGAAAAATTGGAGAAAGTGGAAAATTGATAAATTCATGTTTCATGAGATCCTTTCCAAGATTAGGATTAAGTCCTAAAATGAGGACGATGAGAAATAACATTAGGTCAAACCAATGGCTGTAAATTTTAGTGTTTGTGAAATCAGATAATATGGCTAACTCAAGAACCTAAGGTTATGCTAGCTCCTATCTCCCACTCCATTCTTTCCTTAATAGATAACCTATAAATATGCCATTATTTAAGAAATTACCAGGCCAGCCGAATGGCTCAATTGGTTACTAGTTGGCTTAAGAGCGCAGGCTCTGAGCAACGGGGCTGCCAGTTCGATTCCCACATGGGCCAGTGATGCTGGACCTGAGCTGAGCTGTCAACAGGTGGCAGGATGGCTCAGCTGGTGTAACAACAAGACTGCCTGTTCGATGGTGGACTACGCCCACCCATGACTAAGACTGAACTCAGCACTCTGAGCTGATCTGCTGCCTGGATGGCTCAGTGGATAGAGAGCTCTTAACAAGGCTGCTGGCTGGACTCCTGCATGGGATGGTGGGTACGCCCACATGCAAGTAAGAGTGAACACAGCACCTTGAGCTTAGAGGCCACAAGCTGCCAACCGGAAGCCAGGTGGCGACTGGCGCCCTCCACAATGAAGACTGAAAACAACAAGTTGGCTGGTCCCTTTCCCTCATTCCCCAACACTGTTCCCCTCCCCCAATTCCCCTATAAAATCTTAGGGGGGGAAAAAAAAAGAAATCCCCAAAGGAATTTTTCTAACTCTCTCTTAGCTACTGAGTTGTATAACTTTTTTAAAAATGTACATGAATTCAACTTTTTACCTTGAAACTTCCATACCTACATGTAAAAACAAACACCAGACAAGATGAGAGTAACCAGTCACTTAAGTGCCAAACTCCTTCATTCATCGTTCAGTCAACAAATATTTATTGAGCGCCTTCGTCATTCTAGGCAATAGCAGTGAACAAGACAAAAATCTCTGCCCTTACGGACAAACAAGTATATAATAAACCAAGTAGGGATACGTTTTATGGGTAAAAATAAAGCAATGTGGAGAAATTGGAAGTGCTAGGAGGAAGAAGTATTATTTTATGTAGAGTGGTTAGAGAAGGGTTCTCTGATGACATCTAAAGGAAATTAGTGAGTTATGAGATTATCTGGGGGTACAGTATTACAAAAGAAAGCAATTGTACACACCTTGAAGTGGGGGAATAATGTGTGCCTGATACTGTTGTGGAACAATACGGAGTGTCATTAGTCAACGGGAAGAGTTCAAGGTACGATACTGTATGGTCATGTAAGTATGTGAGCTTTTACTGAGTGAAATGAGAAAAATTAGAGGGTTTTGAGAAGAGCCACTGTGATTACTATATTGAGGGTGTTGGAAAGATCACTTAGGTGGTTACTGCGTTACAGTGGCTTACTTCGTTGTGGTAGACTATTTATTTTGCAGGTAGTAATGGTAGAATCTGCTGATGGAGTGGGATATTAGAGAAGTCAAGGGTAATGCCAAGGTTTTTACTGATTAACTGGATGAATGGAAATTGCCATTTTATTGCAGAGTAGGTTAGAAAAATAAGTTCAGTTCTGGATATGAATTTTGAGATGTTTATTAACTTCTAAGTGCAGATGTTTGATTTTTTTTTAAGTCTGTTTTCTTGGGAGAGGTGTTGGCTAGGTATAAACTTGTGAATCATCAGTACGTAGGTGATTTTTAAAGGAATAATAGTGAAGAGCTTTAAAGACTGACCCCAGCAACACTCCAATATTTGCATAGGGGAGAGATGAAGAGGTACCAGCAACGTTTTGAAAACTAGCTATAAAGAAAGGTGGGAACTAGGGAAGGGTGGTATCCCAGAAACCAAATGAAGTAACTCAAAACCAAAGAAGTGATCATCTAGATCAAACCTGCTGATGGGCGAGTTAAGAACAAAACTGGGAATATGGCTATTGCATTTGGCTGGATGGTTATTGGTGACCTTTACGAGAGCTATTTTGCTGGAGTGGTAGGCGGGGCAAAAACCCGAGTATCATATTCAAGAGAGAACGGAAAGTTCTCTCCCGAGAACTTTGAGCAAGTTTTGCTGCAGGAAAATTAGCGGAGCGGGAGATTAGAGAGATGTTCAAAGTGTGAGAAGAGACAACAAAAGGAGTCTGTAAGTGTGGGAGAGTGAATAAATTCGGGAAATGTAGCGGCATTGCTAGGCAGTACTAAGGGGCCGTTGAAGTTGTGAGACAAGCCCGTAGAGCTATGTGCTTTTCTCCAGCCTCCCGTTCAACTGTTGCAGGAATGGGTTTTAAGACAGAGGCGGCAGAAAAAACCTCTACTACAGAACATAGTAATCTTCAGTTTGAAGATCACCTCTCATGAAGGTGAAAGAATTGACCATCTAGGCATAGCAAGGAGGCAACTAGTTTGAGACTGCAGACCGAATAAAGCCGAGTGCAATGAGGAAAGGTGGTTTTAAACAAACTAGGTCTTCTCATACAAGCACAGTAGGGGGTTTGAACAAGGTTGTATTAGGCCAAGGAAGGAGACATAGCCGCCTGAAAGCTGCGAGGGTTGCTGATTGAACCCAGATGCAGCAAGAAATAGGATCTAAAAGAGCTCCCTCCGCGACCCAGGGGGATGGAGTTAGGTTTTAGCGCCGGAACTTACAATCCGACGGTCGTCTGCTTGCGGATGTTTACCGGAGACGTGGGCATGGTGGCGACTGGCTGGGGAGTGGTCGACCACCCCTTCCCTGCCTGCTTCTGCAGTCCCTGTACCCCCAACCCCCGAAGTTAGCGGCTCCGGCTGAAGCACCGGAATGTTTGCCGGGCGTCATGGAGACAGTGGAGCCCAGGCTTAACAAGCGGCCGCGCGGTTGGCTGGCGGCTGGAGGCCAAGGAGGAGGGCGGAGGCGGAGGGGAGGGCAGAGGGTTGGTGGAGCAAGAGGAAGCTCGGGACGACGACTAGAAGAAGGAGGCGGGCGGCCCCGGCCCCAGGCCCCTCCCAGGCTCTGAGTCTCCCCGGGTGCAGGCGGATGGATGGGGCTTCTTCAGGCGGTGGCGGCAGCAGAGAAGGTGGCGGCGGCAGCAGCGGCAGCGGCTGTAAGTGCAGCCTCCATAAATCATCTCTCCTCCCCTAATCCTTTCTGGGATGAAAGATTCCTGAGGTGTCCCCGGTACCCTTTCTCTCCTTCCCCTCCCCCACCGCAGAGTACCGCCCGGAAGACTCCTAACTTCCGGGGAGGGGCTGCGAGAGAACGCGCCCGTCTCGATTCCCCTCCGGGAGTGGCGCTGGCCACCCAAGGCGCATGCGCAGTTCCCTATAGCTGCCCCCCGCCCCGATCCCGGTTTTTTTTTTTGCTTTGGCGGTGGCTGCGGAGCCCATCTTCCCCGGCGTCTGCAGCGCGCTGGGAATCCGCAGCGGAGTGAGTTCGCCTAGCCCAGTTCGCCCCCGCCCCTTTCTCCTGTCGGCCCCTAATCGTGGTCGGGGTGGGGCCAAGCTGACCTCCCCCCTGTGGCTCCGCCTCTTTTCTCCTGTTATCTCTGGGTTCTGGTGCCAGCCCGGAGGGAGGCTCCTGCTCGCATTGCAGTCCTGTGGTGAGCAGGGTGCTGGGCAAACCGGCCCTTTTCAGAGGGAGTTGAGGGAGGGAAGGAAAGACTTGAAGAGGGCATCATTGGGAGGGAACGAAGTCCTCCCAACCGGTGGGAGGATCCCTGGGGACCGACGCCTCCCCCGCCTTTGAATGGGCTTGTTCTTCCAGCTTTTAGTGGGAAGATCTCTGGCCTGGAACCCATCTCTGGTCCTCCCTTGCTGTGTGACCTTGAGCGAGTCACTACCCCTGTCTCTTCTCTGGGCCCCAGTTATCCCTAAAGCTTCCTCCAACGCTAAAACTCTTTAATTTTGCAGAAAAGCTTATGCAGTTACAAGACTGGCAGGTCTCCTGAGGCCGCCTAGCCGAGATAACCTGGAGTTGACAACCTTCTTCATGGGTGGAATGAGATGACCTATTTATTGGGTCTCTTTTATTTCTTTATTAGTGGTTATAAGTTGCACGACTCAAGGTTCATTAATGTTTTTCTGAAATTGTCATGGGATCCTTGTCCTAATTCGTGGCCATCTTTTTAAAAATTATGAGGGTGAATGGTGAGTTTGCGGTATCACCGTCTCTGGTCTAGTTACTACTGAGGCTTTCTTTCCTTTGATCCAGATGGTGTGGTGGCTCGATTCTCCCAGTGCCTGGCTGAGTTTCGGACGTGGTTAAGAACCAACTGGTTGAGGTTCAATGCAGACAAGACGGATGTGATGCTGGTAGGCAGGGGCACACTTGGAGATTAAGGGAGGGAAAACCCAAACTCCCTCAAGTAATATAAATATTATATTACTATTTTTATATGTTCCAGTGTTTGAGAACTGGTGGGCCAATAATTTGCAGAGAATGGGTGAGATAAAAATAACATGTCAACAATATATAAACTATAAAAATGTCAGTTTGTGATAATCTGATAAAATAGGGCCACTGGATAAAACTCTATGTGAAAATTGTAAAAAGAAAAACCTAAACTGTTCTTTGAAGAACTGAAAGGCTATATAAGTGTTTTCAACTGGTGTTAATAAAAATCAAACTAACAAAAAGATGTTGATTGTCGCATAGATGAGGGGCTTCCAAATGTAATGCATTACTACTGCTTTGTAACCTGCATCCTGCCTACTAAAGGTAAACTCAATTTTATCTAAAATGTCATTAAAAAAAAATTGGTGATCCTTCTTGGTATTTAGGAATTTTCAACCAGATTAGTAGTTATCCACAAATTTTTACTTGCACATCATGCGTAGACTGTCACTTTTAAGCAAAAATTTTAAGAAATAGTTTACAAAATCTCAAAAGGAACTCATGGACTCTGAAAATTGTTATAGAATTTGTTTTTAGGGTTTTGAATGTGCTGTATTAATCTATTTCATTCAAACGGCCCCAGAGTCTAAATTGTTACAAGTATTTTCTTGGTGCATTTTGAGAGGTACCTTTTTGAGTCACATAACAGATATGTTTGTATAATATGGGTATATATTACTTATATTTGAATCAGGTGTTGGTACTGAATAAAAGGTTATATTTCTTAGGATATGTAAATTGCCAAAGAAGTTCGTCTATTGGTTAAAGTACTGGTTGAAGTAAAATTGTAACCCTAAAATGCTTGTTAACAGCAAAATAGTAACTCTGAGGGGTTCTTGTGTGTGTGTCTGTGTGTATTACAGCCTTTATAAAATTGTTTAATAACTTTTTAATGGAGTATCCAGTAAATTGCTTAAAAATAATTTCCCAATATAATAGCAGTTTTGAGTAGCTTCATGTGGTAAAAGTTACGTCAGTTTTCCTGTAAAGAAGGAATTCTTCAGGTGGAAAATGAGAGCTAAATAGGCATTTATTCAGGCTTAGTCTAGTGTTTTTTTTGTTGTTGTTTTGGGACATTAGCCATAAACCTCACATAAAATTGGAATTAACCACACTTTTTAGTTTAACTTTAAAATGTTACTACAATTAACAGAACCACCATTTTGGATGTCACATTAATAAATACTATAAACTAATAATTTTAAACAGCTCATAGGTAATGGTGAATTTTCTCATGCCTTCAACTCTGTCATGTCCTTGTTTTCAGCTCTTCTAGTATCAATAGGCTTTAAACATTTATTTTTTGTTAACCCAAATATCAATATTGACTGCATTTGAATACAAAGAAAATATCTATTGTGTTAATCCAAAGCGCTGAAGAACTGAGGGCAGTGGATGGAAATAACAAGGAAGTGGCTTCTGGTTTAATAAAATGAATGTTGCAGACAGAGCTATTTTTGAAAAGAGCAGCCTCTTCGTGACACAGTGAGCCATTGGAGATGTTTAAGCATAGGCAGAAAAGCCTGGATGTGAGTGGGGAAACCTAGTAAGGGATTCCTACCTAGGTAGGGTAGAAATTGACTAAAGACCTCTAAGGTCCTATATAACACTAACACTCTATGGCTAACGAATAGTTAATTTTTACATATTTGATACTGAAGAGGTCAGCAAGAGTTTGGAGAAAGACTTTGGTTTCCTTAAGGTGACTCCTAAAATTTGTTAAGATAAGTATATCATTAGAATAAAATGAGAGTAGAACTGTACTGAGTTCAGTAGTAATGTGTTACTGATAACTTACAATATTGGAGCTGTTTATAGTTTTAGACTCTCTGAACCTAAAAAAAATCACAATCCATGTTTATTAAAAGGGAAGGAGAAAAATGTAGAGGGGATATTTTTCCTCTATACAGTGCCACTTAAAATTAGTAAAATTGTAGACAGTATTAATAAACTTAAAGGCCATTTATCAGTAAGATGGATACCCATTCATAGATTTCTTAGAACTCGATTTTCCTGACAATTTCAGAATTCATTACCTTAAAGATCATGATTCCCAGCTTTTTATCATACTTGGGATTTTTGTTGATTGTTTTACTGAAGAATCAAAGATTAAATGGGCTTTAGCAAGTAAGTTATTCCTGTATCTTGAATTTTTGACACTTTTTAATTTTCCTTTTGGTAACCATCTAAATAAATTTCACATATTAGCTTTTGTATTTAAATGGAAAATCCTCCTTTATTTCTAGGGAATCATAAAGCCTGAGTTTCTACCTCTAAACCCCTTATTCTTTTTATCTTTACCTACCTCATGTCTATGTACATCCATTGTTTTTTGCTTTTAGCTATTTCCATCAAGCATCTCAAAGTGAAAACTATGTGGAAATGAACTGACTTTTTAAAAAGTCATTTTTATTGGAGTCCTAAGAGCTAAGGTAATTCAACAGGGTAACTCTTAGAAACTATACCTATGCTAAAATATTTGTTCCCCCAAGGAATCCTGAAAAACACTTTTATATAAGTATTCTAAAAAATAAAATGAAAATACTGTACAGTACAGTTAATGGTAAAAATTGTTTGTAGATTTGGGAACCTTAAAGTTTTCCTTTCTCTTCTTTCCCTTGCTTTTCTTTCAGTAGAAAATGTGCATCAGATGTTTATGTTTAATTGGTTTACAGACTGTCTGTGGACTCTTTTCCTGTCAAATTACCAGGTAATGTCCTTTCACTTAGCAGCTACTTCATATACCTATAAATGCACAAATTATTATTGGACATAAGAATTTCAAGTTAATGTTGAATCTTTGGAAATAGGAAACTGTTTAATAGAATCTAGATTTTAAGGAAATACAAATACTTTAAGAAAACAGCCTCCCCCATATTGCATTGCAAGTTAAGTATGAAAGAAAAATTGTGTACGTGCACATTTATGCAATATATTTTAGCACTGGCATCACATTATTTGGAGGGAATGAATAATTTTAATATTTAACTGGTTGATTCTGGTAGTCATTTTTAAAACTGCATTAAGAGGAACTCCTGAATATTTGGGAAAAAAGAGTCTTTTTAAAATAAGACTTTTAAACTCCTAGTTTAGTGAAATGTTAATACACATTTTAATACTACCTGTGTAGTAGCCAGTATCTGCCTTAGTAATGGAAGTGAAACATGTTTGTTATTTTGCAATTATTGGCTCTGGCAATCATCAGAATTGGCATGAAAGCCAATTGGCAGTTCTAGGCCAATAAATTACAATAAACTTTAAAATTGCAAGCATTTTGAAAAGGTATTGCAAATAAGCACGTTCTCCCTCCATACAGTCAAGTCGGAGATTAGTTAGGTCCATCAAAGAGCAGCTTTTCAGTATTTCACATTTTAAAATTTTCTCTAGTGCAAAATTCAACCAGTGTACAGTTACGTTGCTACGGGCATCTCAGAAGGGGTGTGAGGAAAAGCAAATGAAATATGAGAATAGCAGACTACCTAACACAATCCCTTAATCTCTGCTGTGACTGCTAAAATTTGGGGACATGGAATTTCACATTTCCCGTCGGGAATCAACCGAGAGGAATATTTGTCAAGGGATAACCGCTTTCAAAGCGCACTACTTGCGGTTGTTGCATCACAGCAACAGCCGTTTTCCAGCAAATGCACTTCAAAATAAGGCCTACATGTAAAATACTATAACATATCTTTTTCCCTGCGATGTGAATGCTCGACGCGGTTCCTTTGGCACCTTTCCTTGACTTCTCTAGTCCCTAGAGCCCTCTTCCCCCAGCTGGAATCGCGGATCCGCTAGGGCAAGGGAGGCGCCCCTCGCTGAGATACCCACCTCCCCCCGATACCCACCTTGACTCCGCCCCCTCCGCGCTGCTCCGGGGGAGGGCTACCGCGGGGCCGCGCGCGCGTCCCTGTTCCCGCGCGCGCGCCGGCCTTTTCCCTCCAGTCCGGCTCAGCCGGGTCGCCGCGAGGGGGCGGAGTGGGGTGTGGTGGGCGCGCTCGGGCGGCTCCTGCGCGTTCCCGCCGAGACAGCGGCGGCGGGAGCGGCAGAGACGGCGGCCCCGGCGATTAGAGTCCCGTTGCCGAGTCTCACATCCGGGTTCTGGCCGTGACCCAGCTGCGGCCGCCGCGGAGATGTGACCCGTCAGTACGGCAAATATGGCGGAGGTAAGGGAGCTCGCTCCCCCTCCCCGTCCCGGAGCCGGGCGCCCCCGGGCCCTGGCCGGGGAGGAGTGGAGTGGGCCTGGCTAGGAGAGGCCCAGCCCTGCTGGCGCCACTGCCCACCTGTTGTCCGGAACAGGCCGCGCTCTGGGCGGGAGCTTTCCCTGGAACTTAGTTGGGATGGGTCCGGGGGTAGGAGGGAGCCGAAGCGTAGCTGGACTTCGGGGACAGTTTGAAGGGTCTAGTGCTGCGTAGTACTGCGTGCGGAGAGGGGCCAGGGGAGGTGGCGCCCGCCGGGCAGGGGCGCCTGTGGCGCAACTTCGCCGGCCGGTGTTAGGGGCCAAGAGAGGAGCTGCTGCTTCCTCTTCTTGCGAAGTTTCTTCCCTCCCTAACCGAGATGCTGTTGCGCCCTTCCGCGTCACCCCCACCCGTTTGCTACTGACATCAGTCTGCTGGTGGGGAAAACGTAAGGCAGAACGGCCTTTGATTAACTAATTTTTCTTATGGTGATAAAATAAGCGTAGAAAAATGAACCTGGCCTTTCGTAATCCAGCCCTCCAGGTTGGGGGAGTCTCCCCATTTCGCCAAACAGTTCTACCCAACCCCCCGCCCCCAAAGTAGACTCTTTCTCTCTCTACGTTTTAGAAGAGTTGTTTTCTACCTTCCCTTCCTTCACTTTACCGGCATCCCCCCCATTCCAAATATAGCCGATCTTATAAATTTTTATCCCCTTAGGAAAAAAAAATTTTTTTTTACCCTTTTTAAAAACAAGTTCCCAAAGTCCCCTTTCTTCGGTGGTAGTTTTACATGTTTGGGCCTCGGATCGGTGGGCAAACAACCATTGTTTTGGTTAATTCGAACTTACTAAATACTACTAGAGATTTAAGTTTTTTGCCTCTGATTTAAACCAGAAATATTTGACTTTTTTTAAAAACACTTTTTGCATACCCTCGGAAGAATTTTGTTATTCTTTACCTTCCGGACTTCTTCAAGAGGTGATATATTTAGATTTTTATGTCTTCTTTGAGTAGAGCCCCTCTTAATGATTGAATGATTGATAAGGCCATTTCTCTTGTGTCAGCTACCATTTTCATGCTGTCAGGCACCCAAAAACAGATTCAGGAAGTAGGTAATTGTTTTTACCATCAGTCCTCAATTTTTGTCTTTTTTATTTGCTAGGTGAAATCAGTGGTGAGTACTTTCATTTATACCATATCACCTTTGTGAACCTTGGAGTACAGAAACATGATTAGATTATGGAAAAATATTAATTCGGAGGCCTTTGTATATACCTGTTGAGTGAAGGGACCTAAGGTTAACTGTTTACTGGTGTGGCACTTAGGTGGTTCCTTCTTGCTTTATGGAAACTGGCTTTTTATTTACATCCTGGAGTATTTGCTATTAAAGGAGGACAAGAGTTTACTGTAGCAGGACTCTGCTACCAATATTCTTTTAAAAACATTTAATAGTTCTGATGTAAAGCTAAATTAAGATCTTAGATTAGTTGTATTTCTTTGCTCTTTGTGGTTCAAGAATTGTTCAAGGCACATGAATTAGATAAAACATAATACTTTGTATTTTACTTAAATATGACTGATTTATTCTATTCAGCTGAAAGAATTTTAGCCCTAGTGAGGCTTTTTTTTCCCTTCATATGTAAAATGAGGGAGGGATTGTATGTAGCTGGATTTACATATATTTTATCAAATAGCCTTGAGTGGATCATCCTTTCAGTGAATGCCCAATGGGTGATGTGGTTTCTTCCCTAGTAGAGCTGCTCACAATAGTTTGAGCTTTAAGTTATGTAGTCATATTTTAAAGCAAGATATTATTGAAGGAATATTATTTAGTATATGAAAATACGGTGAAATTTAAGTTTAAAAAATCTCACCCAGAAATTTGAACTGCCTAGCACACTGAAAACTTAATAGGTAAATAGAAGTTTATTAACATTTGATTTCTGGTTTTGGAAATTAAAGATGGGTGCATTAATGGAAGAGGGAAAGCAGTGTTTTTATTCACTAATAATTCCCTAAAATTTTCAAGTGTATAATTTAGTTTTCTTAAAAATTACATAAGTTGGAGAATGAAACTCTTTCTGTAGGAACACATGGATGGTTCAATTTCAAGAAGAAAAACCCTGAGTTTTGATTTCAGTGCATTTATTTAGTGACCTGGTATCTTTAAAAAAAATGTATCCTTTATATTCTTCAATTATTTGTAGTTGGTTTCCTTTATAATGAATTTGGAAGAAGACTGGAGTAATCTTCATCTGTGTCTTGTAAAAAAAATCGAAACAGATGAAGAGATGAAAAGTAAAATTAAAAATTTTTTATTTCAACATTTTAATTGGGATGATTTTAGAAAGTAGTCATTTTAAAAAAATAGATGGAGAAATGCTTGGTTTATAAAATGCTTTTACTTGGTTTTGTGTCAGCTTTCAGGAGATTGATTCTTTATGATGCCAATATAAACCATGTGGTAAAATAATTCAGATGCTGTGCTTTGGTTAAGTAGACATGAGGATTGAAGCTAACTGGTGAAATAACAGTGCAAAGCAACAATATATTTTTATTTGATAAATCTGAGGGGAAAACAGATTATTGAAGAAGCATGTCTCCAGAGAAAAATGTAGGTATTATGCTTCTGGGTTTTTTTGTTGTTGTCTCCTATATAGAAGAATAACCCTGACCTTGTTTTTTCAGAAAACATATTTAATTCTTGAATACAAATTACTTTAGATGTGAATATACTTAATTTTTATACCTAGTCTGATCATCTCAGTCCATAATAGGAAGTATGTAATCGTTTTTCAAATTGTGATATTAAAAACATATTTTATATGCTTAGAAGAATTGGCATATGCTCCCTTTCTTAATGTTTTTTGATAATATTTCTCATTGCTAATTATCTCAAAATTATTTATCCATCTTCTAAAAGGAGGCCAAACTTGAAGGAAATTCCAGGGTAGTCACAGCTTTACAAAGCAACGAGAAAAAAAGAATTAAGAGGAAGAAATAGTTGATCCTTTGGGTTTTATAAGGAATGTGGTGTAGGGACCTTTGGGGAGGAACAATTTGTCTTTTATTTCAGAGTTTGTAAACACATAAGGGACTTTCTTCTCAAGGGAATAAGAAGCCACAGCATAGTGCAAGACCTGTCTTTTCACCTCGGCCATATTGCTGTCATATAAAGAGAAGAAAATTTAATGGACCTGCCTTTCTGTGTTAAAGTATTTTAATATTTCTAGAATTGATACATAATCAGTTTATTCACTGTCACATCTATTCGTTTCTCTTAAAAACAGACTTGTTACTTAGCATTTTTTGGAGTATATTTAGATTTTGTTTTTTAGGGAAATAGGATCATTCTTGACTGCTCTTCTTGATAGTGTTAATTTCTACTCTAAACAAAATTTGTTTCACTATAATGACTTTAGACCTTAAATAATTCTCTATACTGATAATGAAATTTTTTTAAAAAATATTTATACATCAGCTATTAAGGATTTATCCAAAGTAATCAAGAACACCAATGCATGAGATTCCCCAAA